AATGATAAGAAAGTCTTTTTGAGGTATCAGTAACCAACATTAAAAAGTACGTTATATATTTGGAATTTATTAATTCCCAAAAACAGTCATCTCTTTCAATAGTTTATAATAACGGACAAATATTGTGTGAAACCAATTAAGAAGTTTTCTGTAAGTTCACAAAATTTTTATCATTAAAACATACCTTTCACAAAATATTTTATTGCGAAAACGGACCCTTTACAGTATCTTAATCTACGCTATAAGTTTTCGTTCAAAAAATAAAGTAAATAACGTCTTTAACTCATAATTTTAAAATTAAAACNGAGTACCCTGGAATTCGTTTTTTTTTTTTTTTTCTTCTTCTTTTTTCTCTTTTTTTTTACCGCTAAAACTGAATCTTATTTTCACAAAAAACAGGACTCTGACAGAAATAACTATAATAATTATAGATTCAGAAAACTTCGACTAGTTTTTTTCACAAAATCACGCAGTTATTAAAGATTTTTCATAGAGTGGGGTAGATTTTTCATAATTTTCATTTTAAACAGGAAATTTGCTAGGGATATAGAATAACTAATAACTCTGAAATAAATAACCCATCTAAAACAAGCTTTTTAGTTAGGCACTGAGCTACATTTCAAGATAAAGTGGAATCATTATTTCAACAAACGTTATTTATAGGTTATTAACTATTCCCGTTGACCAACCCAAACTTCACCTAGAATGTCCCCAGATTTCCTAAAAATTTATAGAAAATTAGCTAATTAATTGCAAAGAATAACAAACAATAGTATTATTAATGAAAAATAAAATAAAAAAATTATAAAAGAAGAAATTTAATATTTTAATGGGCTGATTGTTTTTGTTATTACAAGCAAAATGTATTGAAAAAGAAAATGAAACTCATTTATGACAAAAATACTAAGTAACAATTTTTGAATTAATGAATAAAATATTTTTAATAAAAATTGCACATTTATCATTCATGGGCTATATTTAGCCTTGTATACCCTTACTGTAAAGTTATTATTTTATTCCCACATCTTCTAGTCACCTTATAGGAGTTCTTTTAGACAAAATATGGATCCATTAACAATCCTTCACAAGCAAAAAATTTTACCACTAGACAGAACACTCTACAATATATTTTATCATAAAAAAAATTCCTTACTATATTTTTTCTCTTTAAAAATAAACTCTAGAAAATATATTTGAGGATATCGTTAATTCATAATTTTAAAATTAAACTGCTTGAAAAACATGGTTTTTATATATTTTCAGAAAAACAGGACCCTGACAGAAAGAGCCTAATTCTGAAGTAATTATAGATTGAGAAAATTAAGAGTTTAGATTTTTCACAAAAACAGAACCTTTCAGTCTGGAATACCTTCCAGCCTTCAGAATATGTTTTCTTGGTTGGGAACATTACTTCAAAAACTGAGTGATCACAATCTACCTAAATCTACATCAAGGATCAAGTTCTGATTAGAACATCCAGGGATAGAAATTGAGAAAATTTAATCACTAGTCGAAAGGACGAGTAACTTAAATTATCAGTCCGTACCTATATTCACTAGCCCATCTAAATGTCTCTATTAGATTTCTTTAAAATAAAATCAACAAAGTGATTTAAATGAAATATTACGATACAGAGAATGTATATTGTTTTCGATATGATCAAATATGCTGTTTTATGATAATAATACAGAATAAAGTATGACACCTAACACGAAAGCAGCGAATCATCCTTTACACCAATTGCAAGTTACATGGAACCACCAGGGGTCTGTCCAGACATTTTGTGAAAGGTCCGTTTTTCGTGAAATTGTGAAAAAATNTATAAATTATACTATTATTTATTTCATCCAAGTCATGTTTCAATGCTACAGGAGCTACAAATCACTATTTATTTTGCACTTTGGCATTGTTTTTGAACCACCATAAAGGATGAATCCAAAGCATACTCTCAACTGCATCGTATTATACCTACTTCTCTCTTATTGTGATAATTATTAAATTTTATATATACAGTACAGAACCCGTTATCCGGAAATCAGAAAACCGGAAAACCAAAAAACCGGAACGAAATTCGATAAATTTTCCCGCCATTTTTTAAAAAAAAAATTTGTTTTCCTCATAAGGTTTTAGGATTTTTTTTTCTTTTTTGAAAGATGTTCACCTTACCATCATTTTGGAAATAATCATTAGTGTATTACTTCATCGTTTTTTCTTCTTTTTAAGATTATTTCCAAAAAACATTTTTTTTTTTAGTTGGGTTTAACAATAAAAAAACGGCTTTTTGTAGCGATTCAGAAAACCGGAAAAATCAGTTATCCGGAATAGCGATGGTCCCGATCGTTCCGGATAATCGGTTCCCTACTGTACATACACAAGTGCATGACAACATTTTGATGAAAATTACCATTTGAGCTTAAAGAATGAAAATAAAAAAAAATCCTAACTATATAATTTAGAAATAAGCATTGAATTTCTCTAGTTAAGCAATGTATTGTTTCANCAGATTTTAGCTCAGAAATTATCTAATTTATTTCTTTTATTGAAAACAAAATTATCCATTTAAAAACATCGCCTATCAGAATAACATGTAGTAAGCAGCTGCAAACTTTTTAACCGGAACTAGAGTAGGTGCCGAGCTCGACATTGTTATTGTTTACATTTATAATGAAAACACCATCCATATAGATCGATAATTTTTTACCATATTATAGGCATTGCAAAAATTTTAGATAGAGATCAGATTTCTTATAAACTTACAAATATACTTAGACATTTAAGGTAAGTTACACACATTTTAATTAATACATTATAAAGCATTTTCTTCTAAACCTTGGATAAACATTGACAGACTTTTTAAATATTTTGTTTATGGCAAAATCCTTAGAAAAACAAATCGGTAAGAAACTCAAATTTTAGCCAATAGTATTGAAATTTTAAAATTCATTCTTAAAAAAAGAAGGGGAAAAAAAACATTGTGTCCTTTAGATTTAATACTATCATTTAAATTCGAAATATACAAAAGTAGTGACCCTTTAAAGTAAGGGATTTTAAATTGTAAGAGCATAATAATCATACATAAAAAACTTAAATAATCATCAAAAAAAGTTTACAATAATCTTAAATTCGAATTCTATAATTTTAATTTTTTTACCCTGCAAACTCTCTTTCTTAAGAAACAGTCTGGCACAACATGGAGACATTTTGCGGACATTGTATTCTGTTACGTTCATAGGATGAAATAGGAGAAACGATGTCTTAAAATTTTCAATGCTAAATATAAATTCTATAAAAGTTAAACTTTTAATTATTATTAAACAAAATTTCGAATGTCGCCTCTTAGAGTATCAAGACTGCAGGACCATGGGCAAATACTCATTTGTCCCTTTAAATGGCTCTGATTCTATGTATGCTTATTTTAGAAAAGAAAAATTAACTCCTTTAGGAAAAAGTGATTATTTTACAAAATATTAAAATTGTCAATTCTATACAAATATAAAAAGAAGAAATATTAATCTCCCAATAGCTTGTTTCGTAAATCTTACAAAAACCAGTTAAAGAATAAATAAATAACCATAACATCATAAAAATAAAATTGACACTAATTTTGTACCTTACCCAATAAAAGAAGAACATTACTTTAACCAAAATATCATCAAAAATTGCCTTTAAAAAAAAAGAAATTTATGTGTATTCTAACATAAAAAAGTTATATAAAAAGGGAAACAGCTTACAATATTTCTGGGGTGATTTCCGTATCATGATTTGTGATCTTTCCGTAACGTGATCTTTAAAATCTATTTGGCGAGACAGATCATGATACGGAAATATCCCCATATTTCTTATAAATAAACTTGAAATCTTTAAACTTTTCACTTTCTTTTAAAATTAAATTTGAATAATATATGACTTAATATTCCATACATTAAAAAAAGGCATTTATAAGTATATATTTTGCAATCAGATGAAATTTTTTCAGTAGTTACTTTATGATGAGTCAACTAGCAAACTATAATAGGAAGTTTCCAGCTCTTTTGATTAAACTAATAAAAATGATAAACGAAAAAAAAAAATTCACGTTTCTATAAATTTGTTCAAAAATACAGGTATTAAAATTAAATATTTCACTTATAATTATATAAATTATACTATAGTCATAAAAATTTTACTATAACAGTAAAAATTTTACTATTATAACAAAAATTTTACTAAAAACAAATACGAATTAGGTTATATAAGTTGAATTACTAAATTTGTTCTCATTCAGATATTACCAGCTAAACTAAATATCAATAAAAAACAAAATTAAAATATGAAAATCACATTGAAAATAAAAGCTATTTCAAAACTTATAATTAAAATAACTAGGTAAAAATTTTAGTATGCATATATAGATAGATATGTCAAGTATAAAAAATATTTTATTTCATAAAACTAACCATTATCATTTTCTCAGAATCTCAAAAATAATTAGAGATAAATCAGTCAATATCTACTTTATGAACAGTCAAGTAAATTATAATAAGGAGTTAACTAACTCTTTTGACTAAAGACTAAGATAAGATAAATTTATTGGAGAGATTTCATTAATTTGTTCAAAAATACAGGTTTTTAATAAAAAATAAACTCACAAATCTTTTTCTTACAATCAAAAATAATATTTAAAGCTAAAATTAAATCCTTAAATTGATAGATTCTTAAATCCTTGATTGAATTAAATTGATAGACAATAAAATAATATGAACAGCCAAATAAATTATAATAAGGAGTTAACTAACTCTTTTGACTAAAGACTAAGAAAAATGATAAATTTATCGGCGAGATTTCATTAATTTGTTCAAAAATACAGGTTTTTAATAAAAAAATAAACTCACAAATCTTTTTCTTACAATCAAAAATAATATTTAAAGCTAAAATTAAATCCTTAAATTGATAGATTCTTAAATCCTTGATTGAATTAAATTGATAGACAATATATTGATAAATAAATTAAATTTATTTACCTGCTTCTGTATTAACACTCCATCACTCTTCGGATCAGAATAACTCGAATGTGAAGATGAAAGACCAATGATTGCGAATGAATATTTATTTTAAGATACTAAATTTATTTTATTTAAATAAAATAATTCCACTAGATTTGTATGAAATTGGCAGATTTTTTCCATTACAAAACTTAAAGTATGATGAAAGAGAAAACAACTAAAGATTAGTAAAAATTAAAAACAAACGTCACGAAAAAACACCATAAAACTTAATATTTATTATCCATAAATATATTTTAAAAGATTAAATTGGAGACTTTAGAACCCGTCGACCCGAAATAGTTCACTTCTTTGCTACCCAGAATGCTTTTCGAAAACATGCCAGTTGCCATTAGTTTAAATGTCAAATGAAAAAGGTAGAAACAAATTTAAATAATAGAAGGCAAAAATCAATCACATTTAAAATAAATGTAACTAAAAATATCTTTAACTTATAATAATACAATTTTCCCTTTAATATCACAAAATGTACAATTTATCAACAAATGGCTTGCCTTTTAGATACTTTTATAATAAATGATGTGAAGGGAAATGAAGTGCAGTGTTATTTTTTGAAAAGGCGAGTCAGATTTGAAGAAATTAATAATTGTGCATTAAAGTATTTATAATTTTCCAGTTTGATCGTATTTTAAAATTATGTTTTCACCATACAGTCAGACAGATAGGCTTAGAGGTTATTCTCAGTTATTTTAGACTACTTATTTTAGATTTATTTTCTCTATACCCTTGCATGCTGGAAATCAATAAATTATTATTTTATTCTATGTTACACTACTTTTATAAATGATAATTGAAGTTAATTATTGTTTTCCTTTTTTTTTGGTGTTAAATTAAGTGTACAATATCCAGGGTGTCATTCCTGGAAAGGTTAGAAAAACTTATTTTAAAACTTATATTAAAATAATGATACTTTATCATTATAGCTTGATTTGCAAAGGATTCAAAATTTTGCACTTCTTAATTGTTAGAAATAAACAAACAAACAAAAAAGCTTGGAACTATTAATAAATTCAAGAAATAAAAAGAAGAATTTAAAATTTGGCATTTCTTAAATATTAGAAATAAACTAAACAAAACTTGTAACTACTAACAAACTCTAAGTTAAGAATTACTGCTATTTTGTCAAGTTAAAAACTTTTATTCAGTTGAAAAAGCACATTAAACAAAACTTAATTACAAACAAAACTTAATTACAAACAAAATTACATGTTCAGTAGTCGGGGTCACTGTGCGGAAGCATACAATAGCAAGTGAAAGCAAAATTGATTAGAAAAGTTTTTTTTATGTGTACATGTGTTTCTCAAAGGAAGATTTTATGAATGAAAGTAATCAATCTTGACATTCTTCAGTAATGTAGTATGCTAAACAAAATGATCCTTGGAAATAGGGATTTGTGAAAGCCTTATTGTTGGCATCAAGATATTTAAAATATTACAAAAAATACATCAAGTTAAATTTTTTTTTAAATATACAAAGTTTAAAAAAGCAATTTTGTTAATATTTATTTCATTTTTAATTTAAAATTTGAAAATTACTTTAATTACAATCAAAAGAGAAATTTTTAAAAATTAAGTATTCGGCCTAAAATTTGGGCGGCTATTCGGCCCCATCACTATTCGTTACATCACTACTTGGAAATATTGAAAATTTTGTTTAGTATCAAAATATTTTACTTCAAATAGTATGTTTTGATATAATCATTTTGGGAAAATGCAAGAATCTGTTCTTAAATATCTTTTAACAACTTTTTTTCTAATTTTATTGCCCAAAAATGATTTAATTTTAAATTATAAGCAGTTAAACTCAAATAAAAATACAGTCTTACCAAAACTATGAGTTTTTGACATGACGGTAAAAGCCGTCATGTGTCAAAAACTTGCCAACTCTGGGTCTGAGGTAATAGTAGAAATAAAATGCGTAGTTAGATTTATGGTTTTAGCAGTTACATATGATGTGAGCAAAACCAAAAACTGTTAATAGTTAAAAAATAGTCATAAATTTTTTTTATAGAAACAGACAGAGTAAATTTATATATACTATAAATTTTATAGGTAATACCTGTTAAAAATTTTAAAGGTAATAATATTATATATAATTATAAAGATAATTTTATTGATAAAAATAATCTTATTATTTGTTCCAAATTTTAAAAATAAGTCAATTAAAAAAGAAATTGTCTAAAAATATAACTATGTATTAACCTTGTTAAAAAAAATTTAAAATTTCTGATATCAAGTTTCGGAATAAGTAAAAAAGGTTAATATTTCCATCAGAAATAAATTACTTTTCCTTACTGCTCCCGCTGTGGACTGATCATATAGTAGAACACCAAATTCACGCATCACTGGCTGCAGTAAGTAGGCTGGTGGGCAACAACTTTGATCAGCCTGCGTATGGGCCGAGGGTGAGCGGTATCGGTCCACGTTAAACTGTTCTATCGGATAGTACTCGACTTCACGCACAGGTCATTGGGCAGAGCCAACAAAGTTTGATAGTCTTTGTCATAAAACAAATATGTAGAAGAAAAGTTTTAATTTTTTTTCGTTGAAGTAAACCATCTACCTACACTAAACTAATTATTTAATATTTTTTTAAATATTTCTTAAGAGTTCAAAGTAAAAAATACGAATATAGTGATTAAAGTTATTAAACAAACTTAGAATTGAAAAGCTTTTTATACTTCATAGCTTTCAATTTTGCACTCAAAAAAATTATTAAAATGTGCCGCTAATAGTATAAGAATTAAAATTCAACAATCAAACTCAAATAGGTGATGGAAATTCATTTATGCAAATGACTTAAATTACTCTAGGTTTCCTAAGTGACCCTGAATAATGACATAATTTATCTAATTATTAAGTTTTATGTTACCCTGATTATAATAAAATTCCATATCTGTATTATTTAAACAAATATCAAGTAATACCATGTAATAAAATATTTATTTTATTATAGATCCAAGTAGTCCTGGTAATACTGAACCAATGACAATAGGCTCTCCTGTTTCTAGTCCTCAAAACAAATCTATCAGTAATCAAAATTTCTTACCTCCTTATCTTTTTGGTGAAACCTCATCTCCTGTAAGTTGATATTTGATTTTAGATTCTTTTGCATGTTGAATATTTTTTAATGCATTTTTACCATTTTTATTTATTAATCGAAGTATATAATCAGAGTCATAAGTCTGTGTCCCAGCATTTTTATTGTAAGTTGGATGTATTTAAGTGAAATGTTTTTTTATTATAGTTTATAAGTCGGGCAAGTTTTAAAAATCAACGGGCACTTGGGACACAAAGTTGAATATTCTGTACTTGGATAGCAAGATACTGTCCAAAACTGCACCCATTTACCAAAACAATTGAAACAAATAACTTTGATATTTGTTAATAATGATGCACTGCAGAAGCATAGAAGTGTTTCTTATAAAGTTTTTGATTTTAGTGTAAACCAGTTTGCTTTAGCTTGTTAAAACTATTAGCTTTTCAGTTTCACTGATTCAATTAGGAGCATTTTTTTTTAAAAAAAGCACAATCAGAAATATTAGCATAATCAAAATTAGAAATGTAAAAGTTATTAATATAAATCTTGACCTGCTTTAAAAAAAATTTCAACAAATTATTGCAAAGTGTTTAACTTAAATTTTAGCATTTGAGCAGGCTGCATGTGTAATGATTAATGTATAAATCTTGATTTAATCGTAATTTGGGAACTGTTTTTATTCTAAAATCATTAACGATGCAAAAGTCCAACTATCTAGACTTAATCAAACCTGAAAGCTTGAGTTAAAAGTGATTATTTTTCTATAAGATTATAAGTAGAAAAAGTATTCAGAACACTCTGAACACCTTTTCTGCATCTATCATAATAAAGTTATAAGAAATTAATTTTTTCTAAAAATTAAATCAAATGTTTCAAAAATTGTAGTTTCTTTGAAAAGAACATATTTATTTACATTTTTACAATATGAATGAAAATTTTCTTGATAATGTTCCTATGAGATGATAAAGGGAAAGAAAAATATTTTCTTGTTTTAATTTCGCTATGACAAGTCCTGCTGGAAAAAAAAATTCAGAGGACTACTGGACGAGTAATATTCTTGTCATAAAACATATGATCGGAACAGGAGAAGTTAAAAGGTAGTTTATCACTATCACATGTAAAAAATTAACACAAGAATAGAAAAAGATGATTCACTAAGCTTTTTACTCAAGAATATGATTGATGTACAGTGCATGAAGAAGGAAAAAACTGACCACCCTGATTAACTTTTGAACTGAAGATTGGATCTTCATACTCTAGGATTTAATCTTGGTTTGATGGGGTGCCCTCATATTAGCCAATTAATTAGTGAAGACGATAATTTAATCTACAAAATCAGTTTCAAAAATTTACTTTCTTTGAATGAACATATCTTTTTTCAGCGGATTCAAATTCCTGACCTCCAAAACATAGGGGTAGCCATAATCTGAGAAATGTGGTTCCATAATTTGGTTAATTTTATTTTTGCAAATTTTGTTGTATTTCAAGAACTTTTTAATCAAATTGAAAAGTTTTTGCACACAATTATAAAACTTGTTTATCCAAAGATAATTCAATGTAAATAAAAGAAAATCTCAGTAAATATTTATTATTTTATTTAATAACAGTTGAAAAATTTTGAATTGAAGGCATACAATTTTTACATAATTTTAAAGTATGTAATTTTCCATAGTAAAATACAAAATTTGAGCATTATTAATTATTGTGTTTTCTAACATTTCCAATTGTAAAAAAAAAATTTTAATAAAGCATTTATTTTTTAAAAATATCAATTTGATATACAAACTTTTGTTTTAAATCAAGGTTTGTGTATCAGCATTGGTCATATTCATTGCTGTTGACCAACCCATCTGAAAGTTGACATGCTTGTGAGACATTTGATAATAATTTGTATGTAGTGATTGGTTTTAATTACTCTTTTATTCCTTAGGTGATATCTCCATCTTGGAATTCACCTATACCATCTAAACGACCAAGAAGTTCTTTTCAGACTCCTTCAACTATAATTAATCCTATTTCACAGTTCAAGGAACAGCAGCTGTCTTACCAGTCACCTTCTACTAGGTAAAGAGAAAAAAGGGGTTTATGACCTCTATCGGGGTGGGTCGAAAAAGTCATAGTATCTTAAAACATTTAGCAATTAGGGGGAAAGTTGTTCGCTACTTTCATTTAGAGCAGAGGTCGCCAAAAAGGTCTATATAGACCCCAGGGGTCTATTTAACATAAGCGGGGGTTGATCTGAGCCAGGGGGTCGATCCGAACCAGAAGGATCGATTGGTCGAAGGATTGTCAGTATTTTTCAGATATGTGACAGTTAGAAATAAACGAAGAAGACTTGGAAATATATACAGGTAATCTTCAAAAATTGATCGACGATTTTAAACTGCGTTTTGTTGATTTGGAAAACATTGACATCCCTGATTGGATTATTGTGCCATTTTCTGCTCAAATTGAAAACGTGGACATCAACCTGCAAGATGAGCTTGCTGAATTATTATGGGGATTTGAAGCAAAGACGCTTTTTAAAAATTTAACAATAAGCAAATTTTGGACAAATATAAATATAATGCAAAAATATGTAAGACTTTACGAAATAGCTCAGCCATTTATGATAGCATTTCCAAGTTCCTATATGGTTGAAGCCGGTTTCAGTCACGTAAATTCAATCTTAACTAAGAACAGAGATAAATTAAATGTGGAGTTTCGAGGGGATTTGAGATTAAAATTGGCCAATTTTGAACCCAATATAACGAATCTTGCAAAAAAANAAAAAAAAAAAAAAAAAAAAAAAAAAAAAAAAAAAAAAAAAAACAGGCACACCCATGTCATTGATTAAGAAGCAGTAAATCTGTAGTTACTTTACTTATTATTTCTACTTACTTATAACATTATACTTTTTATTTAATAAATATTTTTTATTTAATATATAATAAAAAATAATAATTTAATTTATTTAATATATACTTTTTATTTAATAAATATTAAGGTATGTATTTATATTTCAACATTAATATATTATTCATAAAACTATTGTTACACTATGTACTATTACTTTAATAAATGTTCAAAATCATAAAATAAATGTACAAACCCAGAATCTAATAGAGTTTTATTTTAATTAACAGAAAATTACTTTTATGGGGGTCGATCGAAAAATTATGTAGGGGTCGATGATCAAAAAAGTTTGGCAACCCCTGATTTAGAGCAATGCAAAAACTTTTAATTAATATTATTGGATGTCAAAGCATTTTTAAAAAAAAATTAGATTTTGTTGATCAGTTTGCCATAGTGCTTAAAAGTTACCATTTTTTCAAGTGTGCTTTAATTTTTAAAAGATTAAAAAGACTTTTATAAACACTGTTGTTAAAAAATGGAGACTTTAGTCCTGAAGCATTAACTTCAGGACTAAACAATCAATAAATTTTGAAATTTTTAAGCATTGGTTCAATTTTTCCAACTTTTGGCAAAGTAAGGCATCAGAAAATTTTTATATATTTCTTAGTGGTGGTAAGTAACAACTGTTCCTAAAAGATTTAAAATACTTCGACTTTTTAAACCAACCTTACTGAGCCTGTATATCTAGTGAAAAATTTTAAATGTGTATTCAATTGTAAAAAATTCTGTGTTTTTAATCTTTTATTTATTTTTGTTCTGAAGTTCGATTAATGTTTTTATTCTCTATTTAGCTCTGTTATAAATAGTCCGAATCCAACCAAAAGTGGTGCACCCCCTGTTGAAGGTCTGTTGTACAGTACACCAACTCTTACTACTTCATTTGATACTTCAAAGGTATAGAATTTAAGTTTTTGGAGAAAAATAATCAAATAATAATAAAGAATTGGATTTTTAAAAAAATCATTGTTATGTGCTAGATGCTATGAAAATTCTGTTTGAGTTTTGAAACTTTGTTATGAAACATAGTATAGATTTTCATTCTAAATGCACAATTATGCTGCAAATGTTTTAAAATAAGCTATGCTGTTTAAAATAATTTATTAAGGATGTATTTATTTTTAAAACTTTTCTATGCATTACTCTTTTAATATTAGGTATGTTTTTAATATTACTTTCACTAAGAATTATATTTATCCTTTTCCAACAGTTGGAGATTTCTCAATTTACAGACAAGCAAGGTAATTTGATTTTTGTTTTATACTGTATATATTTATTTCTGTGTTATCTCATTATTATGAATGCTTCCGCATCGTCTCTTATCTGTACTAACTAAAATTCATTGTTAATATGCTCATTTTAATTAAGTAATAAAAAAATTTTAGTTTATACTTTGTTTATAAAATAATTTAGCAGCTTGTTCTGATAAAATATAGTTATGAAATATTTTAGCTAAGTCTGAAATTATGCATGTTTTTTCACATATTTTATTCTATAGGTTGGCTGGTTTAAACCAATATGATTGTAAAACTGATTTATCACATCTTTTAAATAACTTTATTTTCCATTAATTATATCAGTACTTTTAGTTTGATTGTAACCGAATGAAAAAGAGTAAATTTTTCCAAAAAATATTTTTAATCTTTAGTTTAATCGCTATTGTGAGTTAAATTAACATGTAATTTCTAAATGCTTACAAATTATTGCTTATCTGCTGAAATATGAATGAAATTATTGTGAGTAAATTTTGAATTTAGTCATAATGTCTCTCAGAATTCTTAAAATAAACCAGACTATCACCAAGTCAAATTTTTCTGCTTTTTAATATTGGTAAACATAACATTTGCTTACTACAATCAGAGGCATAAATGAAAAAAAGGTAATTGTATAAATTCAATATTTTACTTTGGTTTTTAAGAAAAATTCTGATAGTGTAAACTAACTTTTATTGTATGTGTGCAGTAATTTTTTTTATTTATATTTCTAATATTTTTCAAGTGCAATATTTATATTAAGGAGCATTATTTAGAAATATCGAAATTTCCGTTAAAATGTTATTAATATATGTTTTATTTGCATCACATATGCAATAATTTATGTTGCATCACATATGACCATTTTTAAGCGTAAAGCATCATTGTGTTCAAAATAAATCTCAAAAAAGTAGTTTATTCTTTATTTATTATAAAATCATTGGCACTTCACTAAACATACCTATTACTTCAATATTCTGTATGTATGTAGCACATTTGCTAATTTTAGTCCTTTTCATCATTTCATTATTTTCAAATATTTTTTAATGAAAACAATATTACCTTATATTTTTTACATCCCTTTAATTTAAAATTTTTATATATTTTAGTAAAAGAAAACTTGCATGATCAATTTATTTAGCAAATTGATAAAAAAATTTGTAAATCGAATACTGCTATTTAATGACATTAATGCTCAAGTACGACATTTTCGTCAAAACTGATGCACAAAAACTCATTCTTAAATCCAAAAAATATCTATCGTATTTAAATTTTATTTGTATGTTAAGTTGAAATGTAAAGTACTGTGTAAAACATATTTAAAATCTTCCTTTTTTTTTTTTGTCTGTTTATAGAAGGAAAGTGAATATTTTAAAATTGTTTATTGAGACTATTTATAAATAGTCAAAAAAGTTTTCAAGATTATATTTAACAATACTTTTAATTACATTTAATTTTGAATGTGAAGTATTGCTTACTCTTTGTTTAAAATAAACTGCAAAAAAAGCACTGTTTTTTTGCAATTTATTTATTTTTTTAATTTTTTTTACCTTGTAAAACTATAAAATGTATTCAATTTGTAATTCAAAAGAAATCTCATATAAAGTTATTCATAAAAATTTCATCTAAAGTTTAAGAACACTTTAAAACGTATTACCTATTAATAAGTTGTATCTAANTTGAAAATATCAAAAATATCGAAATTTTCTTTAAAATGTTATTAACGTATATTATTTTATTTGCATCACATATGCAATAATTTATGTTGCATCACATATGACCATTGTTAAGCTTAAAGCTTCATTGTGTTAAAAATAAATCTCATAAAAGTAGTTTATTCTTTATTTAATATAAAATCATTGGTACTTCACTAAAACATACCCATTACTTCACTATTGTATGCAGTCCATTTCATAATTTTAGTCCTTTTCATTATTTTCAAATATTTTTTAATGAAAACAATAGAACCTCATATTTTTTACATTCCTTTAATTTAAAATTTTTATGTATTTTAGTGAACAAAAAATTTCACAATGAATTTATTAAGCAAATTGATTAAAATGCTGTAAATTGAATACTTCTATTTAATGACATTAATGCTCTCAAGTATGACATTTTCATAAAAAATGATGCACAAAAACTCATTCTTAAATACAAAAAATACCTATCAAATTAAAATTTTATTTGTATGTTAAGTTGAAATGTAAAGTGCTGTGCAAAGCATATTCAAAATCATCAGTTATTCTTTTTTTAATTTTTTATTGTCTTCGTCTGTTTATAAAAGGAAAGTGAATACTTTAAAATTGTTTATTGATAATATTTATTAATTGCGAAAAAAAGTCTTCAAGATTATACTGAACAATACTTTTAATTACATTTAATTTAGAACATGAAGTATTGCTTACTCTTTGTTTTAAGTAAACAGCAAAAAAAAACTGTTTTTTTGCAGTTTATTATTTTAAAAAAAGTTTTTTTTTTACCTTGTAATACTATAAAATGTATTCAATTTGTAATTCAAAAAAAATCTCATATAATGTTATTCATAAAAATTTCATCTAAAGTTTAACAACACTTTAAAACGTATTACCTATTAATAAGTTGTATCTAAATAATTAAGACGGTTACTTTAATAACCTTAAAATTGTTAATCTAAAAAATATTTCATATATAAATGTTTAAAATTGTTTTCTTTAGATTTTTCATTACAGTTGTCTTTTGTTGAAAAATTAATACTTTTTTTTCCAGTTTCTTTTATGGGTGATGCCTCTCATTATAGTGGTGTATTGACTCCAAGTAGATCCTTTTCTATGAATAATGCTTCCTTTTTGTCTCCAGCTCAAATCGATCCTTTTTATACACAGGGGTAAATATGATACATTAATCATTGTTTAATAGTGTGTATATGTTAAGTAAACTTGTATAAGATGTAGTGCGTAGCATTTTTTAAAAGTTATTGAAGGGGCTTATTTTCAATTTTTGTTTTTAAAAGCCCTTAAAGGTGCTTTTCTCATTGTTCAACGTTTTGACTATTCATTCAACCACAATTTATTTCGGTGTACCGTCGGCCCATAGCGAATGAAAGCGTCAAACATTTTACATGTTTGATGAAATACTTGGGAGTTCGCATGTGCGTCTACTGAGCTGAGTTCGGTGAGATTATTGCACTCTCGCGTTCAATTCTGCTGTATTTTGCAAGATATTCTCTATTTCAGGCTTCATTTTCCACCCTCTGCTATCGAACCAAAAAATTTCTTGATTATTTTATAATGGCTTATATAATTAAGAAAAGAGTTTGTCAGAAACTAGTTATTTTATCATGATCATATAAAGTCTTTTAAGATTATTTTGCATTTTGTTCAAGTATATAGTCCTTAAAAATATTTTTTGAGTGCTTAAAAAGCACTTAGGAGATAAACATTTTGAGGAATTATGTACAGTGAAACCTCTCCAAGGCGATAGCTCTCTGTTCAACAGTAAAATGGTCATTAATGGAGATTGGTCGTTCTTAAAGGTTACCTCCATTGTTATCGAAGGTTAAAAAAAAATTCAGAAACGATTTTATCTTTAATCAGTATCATTTTCTTGGTGTGGAAAAGTCACTTCCTTGTGTTAGCACCATGAAAACCAGAATGATGAATAGAACTTAGCATCAATAAAAATGATCCCTACTGATATAATTGTGTGTAAAAAACAAATTTACCGGGTGCTTCTGACTTCAGTTCAACTGAAGCTGCACATTACCTCCATATGGTCGAAGCTCCTTAACATTCGAACGTGGAACAAAAATTTACCCGACTTGTAAGAAATGCTGTGTCCATCCAGCCCCACTGAAACGTATACTTGATTTTGTCGGACTTAACTTCCGACCCCTTGTCGTCGACTTTCTGGCTGTCAACAACTTTTCAGAGTTGATCTGACTAATGTCAAATCTATGAGGATAAGCAACAATAACAAATTTACCAATAATGAATGATAGAATAAGGTAGTTTAAATGAATAAACAATTAGGTTTTTTTGTTTAAAATTGCATTTAATTTTATATCATAAAAATTAGTTAGCTTTAAAAAATTGAGTAGAGGTTTGATTGTATGAGATGCTAGGTTTTTCGAAAATAACTTCTTTTTTTTCTTTCTAATTCAACTTTCAGCTCTAAAAGTTAATCACTGATAGCATCGTCTTTATTACACTCTGACTGCAACCTAAGGTTGTAGATCTCTTTCAGAGATTATCAAAAAGAGCTATTAAATTAATGGCAGATTAAGATCTAAATTTAATTTGATAAAAAGGTGTTTCTGATAATTGTAAAAAATATATTACATTGAATTCTAACGCTGATATTTGAATTGTTTGTTATTTCAGTTCTAATACTGTAACGTATACCTTCTTATTTTACATTTGAAAATTCTTTATGTTTTTTTTATTATGTATTCTTATTTTATTCTAAATATCACAATTGTTTTGTTTTTTTTTCCTTCCTCAAATTAAATTTAAAGATTTGGCATGAAAAAAAAAATTCTTTTTTAAATTTTAGGGAAGCCTTAAAAAGCAGTGAACAATTGGATGAATCTTGGGTTACCATATTTGGGTAAATTAAAACTTTTTTTTTCTTTATCTCTTGTTTACTCTTTTATGTTAAATGTGATGTAAATACGGAAGAACTAATTTTAATTATGTTATATAAAATAGATTTCCACCAGCTTCTTCCCACTACATTCTTCAACAGTTTAACCAATATGGAAATATTATCGAACACAAAGTAAGTAAATCCTATTAACTTTTCTCTTATTAATAAATTTAAGATTTAAAAATGTGTGGGAGATTCTATTTGCCATTTTTATGTTGTCAACTTAAATATTAAAATGTTTAGATTCTATATCTTTATAGAGAGTCATTTAACATTTAAATCTAAACAGAATTATATAATTATTATCTAACATTGTGCGTGACATTTTTAAAAAGTGCTTTTTTTTATGAAAGCCCTTAAAGATGGTTTTTTAATTGGGTGTTTTACTAAAATGTTTAATTTTCCATTCCCTGAAACGAGATACTTTTTCTTTATTATGTCGGATTTAGTCACAAATTATGTAAAAAGCGTGGTTTTCAAATTGTTCCATTCAACGTTTTCATAATTCATTTAACCATAATCTATTTCGGCATGTTGATCTTCTGGAGCACCAGTCATTTTACATGTTTGATGAAATACGTGCGCATCCGTATGTGTGTATACTAAGTTGAATTTGGTGGGAAGGAGTCTTGCACTCTCAGCTGTATTTTACTGGAGATACTCAGTTTCAGGCTTCACTTTCCGCTTACTGAAATCAAACCGAAAAAGCTCTCAAATTTTTGCTGATCATTGCCAAATTTTATTTCTCTTGTTAATTTTATCGTTGGTGAAGTGCCACTTTCTTCGTCACTGGCAAGCCAATGTTCTTGCCCTCTTCTAGTTATAGATAAAGTACCATTATCCTTGAACTTGACTTGGGTATTATTCATTAATTCACTCCCATTCAAGTTAATAAAGAAAAGAATTGATTGAGATTTTTAATCATAGGATTTTTTAACTAAGGGATAGTCCAATAATTTCATAATTTTTATTGTTTTGTTCTTTTTTTGCTTATTACTTTTTATTAATGTATTATTACTTTTAAGATTTTCAGCACTAGTAAGTTTTGTGAAAAAGCACAATAATATTAGGAGGCAAGATTTAAAGAAGTATGAAGTTAAGAGGCTCTCACTATTTTAAATGCAGCAAAAAATCTTATGTTATTCAGATTTGTCATTCCAAATAACTTTAATTCATGTCCACAATAAAAAACAATTACAACTAAAATAAAAAATTTAATTTTATCAAATTTGTTATGTATTATGAGTGTAGGGACCATATGATAATTTGCTTTAGACAAAAATGTTTAGCTTCAATTCTCATTGTATTTACGTTTCAAAATTATTTTTTTAAAAAAATTAATCATTTAAATAAAAGAAATGCTGAAAAAAGAAACAAACTTTTAATAAAAATTTAATAGGGCCATTCATTAATATATATAGAGATATGACAACGTTGGGAGAGAAATAAATTTTTTTCATTGACATACAGATTATTTATTTATTCCATTTTATTTTAGAGTTCACCAAATGGAAATTGGATGCATGTAAAATATCAGTCTAAACTTCAGGCTAAAAAAGCATTAAGCAAGAATGGGAAAGTATATAGTGGAAACATAATGATTGGTGTCAAAGCATGCATTGAAATGGTATGTTGTTGTTTTTACATTATTGCAAATCAGCAAGTATTCTTTTCCTTGTAGTTTTCAAAATTTAATAATTTTTATTGACATAAAAGTTTTAAATTTTTATTCATTTCAACTAAATTCTGAAATATCTATAATACATAAAAAATACATTTGATGTTATTTGTATCACAGTAGATAACTAAACTATAACTAACTCAGTGGCGCGACAGCCCATTAAGAGGGCCAAGGCCGACTGTGCCCATCTCAGTTTTCTTGACCTTGGGCTCTGGGGTGCAGGAGCATATGTTCCGGTCAGGTGGTCAGCCGAACGCGGAACCCCCAGTGTTAGTTCCCAAGCATGCTTGGTACTCATTTTATCGACCCACTGAAGGGATGAAAGGCTGAGTCGGCCTTGCCCGGCCCAAGGATCGAACCAAGGACCTGTGGCACGACAGCGCGAAGCGCTACCGTGTTCATTCTACGTCTATCTACCAC